TGGGGAAGAGGCACAGGGCTCTGGCTAAGGGGCTGGGCTACAGTTTCAGTCTGCCACCTACCAGCCTTGGGCAAATAACTTCAAGTCTCTAATTCTTAGCTTCCTCATTGAAATAACTCCCAAGATGCCCTGTGGGTCTATAGGGACCTCTGAGAGGCCAGAGAATTAAATATTAGGTTTCTTGGATTACTGAGCTGAAAAGTTTAAAACCTATCAGGCCAGTTGAACCTGCTGCTTCTAGGCAGATCCAGCCAACTGCAGGGAAGAGGTGACCTTGCTGCTCCTGAGATGTGTTGCCAGGAAACTGGCTGGATGGCCCCCTACTCATACCTTTGCTCTTGAAAATAGCACAGACTACCCAAGGCTGGCCATTTCTCCCCCCCCCCCCCAACAAAGAAAGCCAGAACTGTTCATGGTTTTGGCACCTTCCCACTGGTCTGGTCTCTGAAATGTAGCCTCCCCTTTTATGTTTTAACCACTAGAGGCTTGCCAGACTGAAATCTCCTGCTTTGAGTGTGCTGGGAGGAACTGGGACCTAGAAATCACCCACAATCCAGAGCTCGGGGCTCTCTGCTGGATACTAGTGCCTTGGTGTCTGTGAGAGTCCCAGCTCGAGCTGCAAATAAAGGTCCTTGTGTGCTTTGCAACGGACTCGACTCCTGGTAGTGTTAGGCCCAGCAAGAGCTAAATATAAGAAGGTATGAAGAAAACTCAGGAAACTAATCATCTATCGATGCAAAAATGCAAGAGGTTCCTCTTGACCATTGCGCAATGGGGTCACCCCTGCTGGTCAGCTAGAAGTGGCACCGGGAGACAAAGACCTTAGGTTTTTAAAAGGCACAAAGCGTGAATCTCCTGGGGTTGCCTTCTGCCAAGATTGGATTGGATGAGGTATTTAACTTTTAAAATAATTGGTTAGTTCTGGTCACCCTTAGGTCCAGTCAGCCCTGTCGTAAATATCTGATCTTCAAGTCAGTTTGGAATTTCCTGCCATCCACAGTTAAAGATGGGAGAGTGATTAACTCATCCCATGTCTGTTCTGAGGAGTGGGGGTTAGAGGCTTTGGATCAAAGGTCAGGAGAAGGATTGCGGCCATTTGGCCCAGTTTCCAAAAAAAGCCCATCTCACCAGCGCCAGCCGGTGATTTTCTTTCCATTTAGTAGAGATCTCTCCTTGTTCTCTTCCTTATCTCTGCCTCACAGATGGCTAATGTCAGGAGCTTTTATATTCCTTGGCTCTCTGGAGAAGCACTAAGAGGCTTTAATTAACATGGGCCTAAAATTTGCAAATATAAGTTATAAGGCAATTAAAAGAAACATAGGTTACAAAGTTAGTCTGATTCTTTCAGTAGTCTTTTGCGGGGGGGTCTTGAGAATTGGACATAACATCTCACTTAGGCAGATACAGCCCTCAGGCAATGGCATCACAGTACACCTGCAGAGAAGTTTTACTTGGGGTCCAGTTAGATGTTGTCTCTTTGATAACCACTTAGCCTCTATTATAGTTCCATTTTAGAGATGAGAAAATTGATCCCAAACTTACTCCAAGTTGCACAGTCATGGGAAAAACAGCCTGGAATCAACCCTGATGAATGGAGGCATACCCTCCTCTGGCCACCAAGCAATCCTGCCTCCCTCCAATGGTCAGCATCACTTTCACACTGAAGGAAGGCAGTAAAGGTAGAAAAGGGAGTGGTTGAGCTGTGGGTGACTCAGAGCAAGGCTGGAAGAGCCAGAGATTCCATGAAGTATGGAGTGAAGGGGCATGGCTGGCTCCCTTTCTCCTACCCACCAGACCTAGTAGATCACCAGTGGACAGGGAGGCCAAGGAAATGTTTGATAGATGGAGGCAGGCAGTGATGGGCCAGAAAAATGTATGGGCCTTTACTACCTGCCCCAAACACCACCAGTCCAAGTGTGAGCCAAGGGAAAAGGCATGCTTCTTTGGACCACTCCAAAGCAGTTCCTTAGAAGCAGGGAGGAACTTGTTAGCAGAATAATGAACATTGCCCTGCCTCCCCCCCCATCATCCCAGAGGAAGTTGCCAAGATATACAATTTCAGATATATCTGCCTGTGACAAAACCACGCCCAAAGTGATGATGTAAAATTTGACCTCTGGGAAGTGTCTGCCATTTTGGTAGATGTGATACCTTTCCCAGGTAGAGGTAGGTGTTCTGTGTCTCCTTCCCTAAGCCCAACCTCCCACCCTGAAGCCAGAGAATGGACAATGTTCACTGGGAACATTCATTGGCATCAGATGACACAGCCAAAGCCACCTGACCCTGACCCTAATGCTAACCCAAACCCTAACCATAGCCCTTGCCCTAGCCCTAACCCTAACAAGGGTCAGTGGAAGGGGATCTGATCTGGGAGTTCCCCATGCCTGCCTTCTTTTCCTTTAACTGTTTCTAGGCAAGTCCTCTTGTCTGTCCTCTGTCCCCAGACTGGTACACCTTTCAAGGAAGGAAATAGGAAAATTTCCCTTTAGGAAGATTTTTTTTGCTTTTATTGTGGGAAATTTAAAACTTTAGACATACACAGCTTTGGAAAGATTTTTGCAGGGAAGCCCAGGCCCACACAGAGGGCTACTGCAAGGATAGCCGCAGTGGCCTTATCACACATCACCTCTTCAGTGCATCTAATTTTTAAAATAAGCCTTTGGTCAGCAAATACTAGGCTAGGACTAAAATCTCAGCAGGCAAAGACACTTGTCCCCAAGCCAGCTCACCTGAGTTTGATCTCAGGGAGCCACACGATGAAAGGAGGGAACCCACTTTTATTTTCTGACCTCTCCACACATGCCCCCTCTCCCCAATAAGTAAAAACAAAAATTTGTTTAAATTTCCATCTCATGCCATCTCTTCTGGATGATTTTCGCTCTAACCTTCTAAGTGCCCAAGAGCCACAGCCACAGCACAGAGCTTACGGTCATTACCGAGCACACTTTCGGGTTTCCTGGTTCTCCGGTACAAGAGACATTGTTTTGAGTAATGCATAAGCTCCCCCAGGAGGTGGAAGTCAGGGTGTGCCTGGTTAACTGCCCTCCAGGGTGTTGATACAAAACCAGCTCTGCCTCCCTGGGCTTAAGAATTTATTCTGTAGCCCAATGTGAGTGGTTGTAGCCCAGGAACACAGCCTCAAGTTACAAGGAAGGGGGTGGGGCTGTCTCTGCTCTAGGAGACTCAGATGCCATCTGAGGTCAAGGACATTCTTAGTCTTTGTGTCGGTGGAAGTAGGGGGTGTCTGAACATTCCAAAAAGAATTACAGAACACTACCGAGAATATTCTGGCAATGGCGAGGTGATCAATGAATTCATGGCTGTTTTTGCGGCTAATACTGCCTACGATAACTTGTCTCTAGACTGCAGCATTCCAACTCTCCACAATCACTGAGGTAGCAGAGTGGTAGTGGTGGTGTTATGCTCTTGCTTTAATGGAGAGGAAGAAGGAAGGAGGGGGGGAGGGGGCTCCCCACAAAGAGCAGGGTAGAGCAAGAGAGTGAGAAGGAAACAGCAAGAAGGCAAAAGAGAAACAAAAGTAGCGGGTTGGTCCTTTCATGGTGCAACTTAACCTGGCCTACACATGATGACATCATAGGTTGTTAGGCAACTCAGACGCAGGCTGACTAAATACTAACAGGTGGCGCATGTCTTTATTCTTACCAGCACTTGGGAGGCAGAGGCAAGAGGATCTGAGTTCAAGGTCAGCCTGGTCTAAATTGTGAGTTCCAGGACAGCCAAGGCTACACAGAGAAACCCTATCTCGAAAAAAACAAAACAAAACAAACAAACAAACACAGAAAAACAATAAATGAGAGGTGTCATCATCCACTTTGGCTTGTAGTAGAATGTTGAACACAGGGGTGTCTTTCTTCTAGGAACTTAGGTTCACACTGGTTCCTCATGCTGAGGGGTGGTGGCGGTTCAGAACCGAATCTAAAAATCAGGATGGTAGTAAGCACCAAATGGTGGATTTTTGCTAGGTGTACTGAACAGCACCTGGTGTGTAGGAAGCACCCTGAAAAGGTCCACAGGACACTTAAGGTCAAGACAAGTGTGCTAATGCCAGGATTGCTAGCAGTCTCATTCATTTTCTTCTCTTTGAGTGGCTTATTTTTCTGGATTCCTAAGAGCCTTGATGGTGTAAGGGACAGACCATGCTTGACAGGCTGAATTAATAACGTGTCTTGGTTTGCTAAACCTCAAACCCAGTGCAGGTTTGTGTGTGTGTGTGTGTGTGTGTGTGTGAAGCTGTTCTGTCAGCCTGCAGGAAGGCTGAGGAATGTTGGGGATTCTAGACCACAGTGCGAGGGGTTCCTCCGCACCAGGATGGAGGAAGCCACTTGCTTTCTAGCGGCATAAAAGGCCCCACCTATGCCCAAACCTCATGCAGGATTCACAGCACTTTCTGCTTGGCTCCCCCATGGCCTAGTGCTGGACTGCCTTGAGGGATACTGTCCCCTCTGGTGATTCAAGGGTCCCTGACCCACGCATCTCCAGGAACCCCTTCTGCACTCCCACCCCTGGCTTTCATGCCTTGGATCTATCTCTCCGCCCATCGAGGCGCCAGTGGCCTCGGCCTCGAAGAGAACGAGGAGCTAAGCGGAGGATTATCTTTGGCACATTCCTAGCCTGTGGAGTGTTCTAGGGTCGTCCTCCCCTGCCCCAACTACTAAGACACCTAAGTATTCCCGGAGGAGCCAGACGGTTGGCTGTGTCCCAGCTGCAACAAAATCCTTACAAATGCGCAGGAGAATCTGGAGATGGGAGAGGCTGCTGCGTTCGGGGAACACATCCTGTGCCCGGGGTTCCAACAACTCAAACTTGGCCTGGCCGCTGTCCCTTCCCAGTCTCTGCGTCTTCTGCTCTTCAGCTGCTCCAGGATTCTGGGCCCGCCCTTCTGCCCGTGTGCTGGTCCCGCCTCCTAGACTTTGTGACGTCACAGCTCTTTTGAGAGTGGTTGCCTTGGTGCCCTAAACATAGTTCAGGACCAGTAGCCTTGAGAACTACTAGAACTGCATTGCTGACTGAGGTTTTGGAGGGAGTGGGGTGAGCGCAGCTGGTGGGTGCGTGCAGGGCGGGGCAGGGGTGGGGTTGGGGGGTGGCCGTGGGGCTGGGGCCCTAGCTCCAGCACTCTGTCCGGGCCCCTTGAAAGGCTTTACGTCCTTCCTTACTCCTTTCCACTTCCTTTATGACATGCCTAATTTAAGCACTCATCTATCCGCGTGTTGCTGTATTCTTGCCCCGGCGCCTCGTGTAGGGCAGGTGTAGCTCAGTGTGTTAAGAGGCTGGATTCCGGGGCGGCATTCCTTCTTTATAAAGGGGTTGAGACCTGGTTGGCTCCAACTGCAAGCAACCCTGGGCTCCACCCTCAGCCCTGCATGGCTGTGGGTTGGAACACTGGCTGGGCCTCCGCAAACTGGAAAACTCGTTTCTGTTTGAAGGATGCCCAGGACACAATCAGGAGCTCTGACGGGTGGAATAGAGGCCTTGTTTTCATGCAGCTTGCATTCTGGGAGAATTGACAATAAAAGCCGTTTCAGTGGCAACCGCTTGACCTCCGTAAAGAAAACGAAGGGCCAATGCATGCATGGGTGTGGCAAGCTCTCTCAGGGTGACATCTGAGCCAGGATTTAGAAGGGAGAAGCTCCCACCTCCACTCCTCCAGCCTCGTCGAGGCTAGAGGCTGGCTACACAGAGGCCCCAGACAGACCAAAGCTGGTGTGTTCAAGAACAGACAGATACAGCTATCCCAGGAGGGGGACCGTGGAACCCACCAAACCTGCATACAGGGCATAAGCAGTGTCGGGCCTCGTAGTGGAAAAGCAAGCTGCTGTCAGCCACTTGGGGTCAAGGAGGGCTGTGGGTTTGGGGGAACCACTCACTCAAGTACTGTGTCACTCCCCAGGCGAGACTCCTTCAGCTAAGGCCAAGCTTTGCACACCGGTTGGTCCTCAGCCACGATGCCCAGGGCACAGTTCTCTAAGTTCCCTGTGAAAATGGTCCATGACAGTAAGTAATAAGCAAGGTGGGGTGGGGGGTCCAGAGGTCAAAAGGAACCCTGGAGCCCAGGACGGGTAGGTGTGAACTCACTCAGGGGTTTAAGTAGTTCTATGTCAACACCGTGTTTGAGTTTCTCACGGCTGCTGTGGGAACGCCAGGGGCTGCACGCCTTAAACAGTAGAAAGTGCAGGGCTGGTGCCCTCTGATGTTTGTAGACTCTGACCCAGGCCTTTCTGCCTTCTGACGGGCACCTGGCATCTTGACTGCCTTTGACTTTAAGGGCACCACCCATTTTAGCCTTTACACTTCCATAAAGTGTGTGTGTGTGTGCATGTGCATGCCTGTGCCTTCTGTCCCTTTTATCAGCACAGTGGACTTGGGCTTATGCCAGAATGCTCCCAGTTTCACACACCACACCTCCAAGGACCTTATCTGCAAACAAGGCCACGTTTAGAGGTGCTGTGGGGATGTGGGCTTCAGAGCATGGGCTTAGAAGGACACGTTGCAGACAGAAGCAGGTCAGGAGAGATGCCGCCACAACTGCAGACCTCTCTACTTTTTTCTGCTGTGGCTGCTAGGCTGAGCCTGGAGTAGGCAGGTTGGCTGGTCAGTGCCCACACTGGGTGGCATCTAGGGAGGCTCGGAGGTGGACAGTGCCATCATAACTGCACTGTCTACCTCCCTTCAACTTTTAAACGCCAACCTAATGTGTTTTTAGGGAAAGTCCTCCATGGTTCAAACTTCGAAAGTGTATTTCCACTCCCTCACACACACCTATTTGAAACCTACCCCCAGTTTCTCCCCAGACACTGTGGTGATGACCAGAGACTCTTCCAAGCAAGCTCTGTGCACATGCAGAAATGTGTGTCTACAGCTTGTCGTTTCTCCCACACAATAGAAAAGCCCTTCTGCACCCTGCTTTTCCCATGAGTCCACACATGGAATATTCCTGGGAGTGGTGGTACACTCCTTTAATCCCAGCAATGGCGCAACTCAGGCAAGAGAATTGTGAGTTTGAGGCCAGCCTGGGCTACGTAATGAGACTCCGTTGAGGATTGTGAGTTCAAGGCCAGCCTGGGCTACATAATGAGACTTTGTTGCAAAAGGCTATATTAAAAAAAAAAAAAAAATGGAGACATTTTGTGCTTTTGAGCAGTTTTGAAATCCCACAGTGTGAAAAGAATATGCTTTGTCACCAGCTGCCGACAATGGAGACTTTCTGTATTTCCAGAAATGAACTATTATACATACTTGCTCCCACAAGGATGCTTAGAGCTCCACTCTCATATTCACTATTTCACTTCTCTCTCGTGCCTGAGAGTAAATTTAAAAATAAAGGCTGAAATAGATGATGTCACCTCTTAACACAGAAGAGTACAGAGGCTTGAGAAACTTGAGGGTCTATGAGTGTGTGGGAAGGCCAGGCCAGCCAGACAGACCTGGGGTTAGCAAGCCTAGGTCAGATAGCTGTGAGGCCAGAGGAAGCCCAGAGCTGGCCACAACTTCCTGTTGGGGCAGAGGCTGAGGGGCCAACCTACCAGCCCAAAGGATCTCAGCAGCCAGCCTCAGTGTAGTTCTCATTCAGGGATACAGGACTGAGGATGTCTAGCCCAGAACCTGACCCTCATATGGGGTTTTTGACTAAGTGCCCAAATTAACTTTGAGGCAAGGCAGGTTGTGGTGCAGGCCCATCTTTCTGTGAAGAGCCTCATTCATGGACACCAGATAGGTGTCAGGTGGGCAGGCCTTCGTAGTGGGCGGGGCTGGGGAATCTTACTGAGGAACCTTTCTGAGGGCTCAGTGCATCTTGGGATTTGCAACCTGGCTGTCTCAGTTAGGGGGTTTACTGCTGTGATAAGCACCATGACCAAAAGCAAGTTGGGGAGGAGAGGGTTTATTCTTCTCACACTTTCGTATAACAGCCTGAGGAAAGTCATGGCAGGAATTCAAGCAAGGCAGGAACTTGGAGGCAGGGGCTGATGCGGAGGCCATGGAGGGATGCTGCTTACTGGTTTGCTCCTCATGGCTTGCTCAGCCTTTCTTATGGACCACCAGCCCAGGGTGGCATCACCCACAATGTGCTGGGCCCTCCCAGATCAGGAACTAATTGAGAAAATGTTATACAGGCTTTAAGCCAGATCTCATGGAGGCATTTTCTCAGTTGAGGCTCCCTAGCTTGTGTCAAAGTGACATAAAACTAGCCAGCTCACTAACCATCCAAAGTCGGCCCTCTAGCCAGTAGGCGAAGCTGGTTATCCACATATGTAGCCCATAATACATTCCTGTCCACATATGCTGTGCACACTGGGCAACTGTGAGGGCACAGCTACTTTACTCATGTACTAAGTACCTGCTGGTGTTGGGAGCGTGCTGGTCAACACGCAGAAAGTGCTTCCGAGTTTTGGAGAGGCAGCAGGAAGCAGCCCCCCTCTTGGGGTACTTTATTCCTGCTCCACCAGCTTTAATCTGCTCCTTAGATAGGACAGGCAGCCCACCTCCCAGCGGCTGGGCACTGTTGGCCCTTGGCACAATGGTGTTTTTAAAAATCAAATATAATATCATTTCCCTCCCTTTCCTTCCTCCAGTTCTCCCCAAGTGCCCTCCATTCCCTCTCAAAACTGTGCCCTCTTTTTCCTTTATTATTGTTATCCCCCCCCCCACAGTGTTATTTGTACATGATTTCAGGGCTGACCACATGATATCGGATAACCAATTAGGGGCCTCATCCCTGGGAAGACTCTCTCTGCAGTTCTCTGCATTCCTTAGTTGCCTGTAGTTTTTGTCCAGGGTTGAGGCCTCATGAGATTTCCAGCCCTGCCACTTCCTTAGCATGTTGTCATTGTTCTTGTTTAGGCAACCACATTACTGAGGTACCGTGAGTGAAGCTTCCCTGTCGTTTCTAGGACACACAATCTCACGCTACCTTTCTCGATACTCCAGCTCTTAAAAGCTTTCTGCCCCTCTTCCTTGATGTTCCCTCAGCCTTATAAGTGCAGGAATTGTGTGATGGATGCATTTAGAGCTAGACTCCATGTTCTCTGCTTTTGGACTGGTGGTGATTTTCTGTAATGGTCTCTGTTGCAAAGAGAAATGACTTTGATGAGAGCGAAATGTATGCTTATACTTACACTTTGTAATTACCCTGGTTTAGTAAAATGTTAGTAATAGGTTCTATCAAAGATCCATGACCTCACTAGCTGTCTTTGTTAGGATTACTATTGCTGTGATGAAACACCATGACCAGAGCAGCTTGGGGAGGAAAGGTTTTTTGTTTTTTTTTGTTTTTTTTCTCAGTTTCATATAGCAGTTCATCATCAAAAGTACTGAGGACAGGAACTCATGAAGGGCAGGAATCTGGAGAGGCAGGAAAGGCAGGAACTGATGCAGAAGCCATGGGAGGGTACAGATTTTCGGCTATTTCTCCATGGCATGCTCAGCCTGCTCTTTTATAGAACCCAGGACCACAAGCCAAGGGACGGCACCATCCACAATGGGCTGGGCCCTCCCTTTAATTGATTAATTAAGAAAATGCCTTAAGGTTGGCTCTTATAGAGGCATTTTCTCCATTAAGGCTTTCTTCTCTCTGATGATTCTAGCTTGTGTCAAGTTGACATAAAACTAGTTGATACTAGCCCTGGCTAGATTATGGTTTCCTTCCTGTTGGAGGTTTGTTAGTTACTGCCAAGATGTGTGCCACTACTGCAACACTAGGGTTTATTGTGCCGTGCCGGTGGTCATGGTGGGTCATAAGCATCACAGCTGGGGAGGACTATTGGCTGCTTCCCTTCCTTGGCAGCTTGCCCAGCACATTTCTGGGCTATGAAATCTAGCTCTTATGGAGGAGATGCAGCTTGGATCGTCCTGAGTCCTGTGTGCAAAGTGTGTAGTGTCTTTAATAAGAAGAACTTAGCGTCAACCTCCGGGAGTCACCAAGGATGATAGCAATGGCTTATGGTTTGGATTCCCTTGACTCAAAAGGAGTTTCTCATGTCTTGTATTTGGGGGTTTTGTTAGATCGTTTATGGCTCTGTTGGGGAGCATTGTCCATCCAAGTGAGATAAACTTCAGTGTGTGTGTGTGTGTGTGTGTGTGTGTGTGTGTGTGTGTGTAATATGTATGTATATATACCTATATGAATGATATAATTTTAGGGAAATAAATAATATGATCCTTTATGAATTGTTCACACATCTTTGGTATTATTTTACTTTCCTCCCACCCTCTCATTCTGTATTGAGTGGATTTTTTAAAACAAATCACATGTAGTGTGTGTGGTGTGTGTGTGTGAATCATGGTTCTCACACACCGTGATTCATACCATGGTGTGAGAGGGTCAGAAAACAGCTTGTGGGCATTAGTTCTCTCCTTCCACCATGTGGATTCTGGGGATCAAACTCAGGTCATCAGGCCTCCTGTCAAGTGTCTAACCCAGCCATCTCATCAGCCCTTTGGGATGCTCTTGCCCCATTGTCCCCCTGTGGCACCTCCCTCCTTTGAGCCCTTCAGGAGTCTGGTCACCTATTCACTTTTTGAGTGATGCCTCCCTGAACATCCCATTTTAAACTCTGGTCCCTAGCCAGATGTGTACATCTTCCAGTGCATAGCTTGGTGGAGAGGGTGGCTGGTAGCACGGCAGCCCCAGAAGGGATGGCTTACATTCCTGATGGAGCTTCATGTGTCAGGGAGGCCAAAATGACCATATGTTCTAGAAACCTGGGCCAGGGTAATTGCTGCTAGGACATCAGATGGCTGAAGGGCTGCAGCAGAGGGTCACTGTTTCAGTCCCACTGGTTCTTGCTCTGTACCCTCCTTGGGACAGTTAGACATTGTTGTGACAGAAAACTTTGATAGGATATTAAAAGACAGTGTTTAGGAAAAAACCCTAAAACTTAGTGTGACGAGCTGTAAAGACCCAGTCCCCAAGTGAGCAAGGGACTCAAATGCCAGCTGCCACTAAAACCGCTACAATGGGGATGGTATAGTCAGACCCCAGTGAGACGCCATTCCACACACATTAGGCTATTACCAATAAATGACAAACAGAAGATGGTGTTGCCAAGGAGGATGAGGATGGGAAGCGGAGACACTTTACTCCCTGGGAGCGGTGAAGATGCAGCCACCAAGGAAGCCGTCTGGCAGCTTGTCAGAAGAGTTCACAACAGAACTGACAACTCAAAGAATTTCTAGCCCAGGACTCATCACAAGGAGGACAAGCGAATGAAATAGGGCATGGGGTGGAGGCAAAGACAGGGAGGGAGGTCAGGGCTCTGGTGTGTGACCCCAAAACCCTCACACCGTGTGCTTCAACGTCTCTGTCTAGTCTGGGTGTTGGAGGGCTGCTATGTCAGCACATATTCCTGCTGGGAGCTGAGGGCCAAAGAAGAGGCCAGATTTTGTTGTTTTTCTAGGGTGTGGCAGTACGCCCTATGCATGCACACTCATGCCTCCCCCTCCCCCTCACTCCCACTGTAGATACCCTCACACCCCTGGGATCAAACAAAAGAAGAAGTGAATGCCAAGGATCTGGCTGTTATCTAGTAGTATCTTGTTACTAATTTTTTTTTTCACAGGGCTTGCCAAAGGCCATTGGGAAACACAGATATTTACATTATGATTCATGAGTGCGGCAAAGTTACAGTTGTAAAGAGGCAACAAAAATGATTTTATGGTTGGGGCTAACCACAACATGAAACTGTATGAAAGGGCCGAAGCATTGGGAAGGCTAAGAACTGTGATGGAACATGGGTGAGGGGTTCCAGGAGGGTGGGTGATTTCCCCAAAGGCCACATTAGAAAGTCTTTACTCAGCAGAAATGATGGCTCTCCTTTAGGCACATAGATGGAGGCTCCTCTCCCAAGACCTGAGACTACAAATCATCAGCGCAGAATTGTATAAAAATGGTTGGGAGGGCTGGCTGGAGACTCTGGTGAGGGTCCTATGACCTTTCCCCTCCCCCTTTTAATATCCAACAAGCCCAGCAGGACTCCCAAAAATGGTAGGCTAAGCCGCGTCAGCTCCCTGAAGATCTGGTGGCAGCCTGGTCCCTCTGTGGAGCATCTTTGTGAACTTCTCAGTGCTCTCTGAATGGCAAAATGTCTCTGACTGCGTAAGTCTCTTGGCCATGCTGGGGAGAGGGCACCCCAGGAAAAGCGGTTACACTTGGGCCAGGCAGTGTTCCCCAGCTGATGACTTTAGGAAGCTCCTGATTGTTTGCTGTTTGCACTGCGGGCGGGGGGGGGGGGGGGATGCAGGCAAGGCATACAGCATGAAGACTGGAGAGGGAGGGGCTTCCGGTGTTGCAGCCCAAGCTTTTAGCGTTTGGTGGTTCCTAGGAACTTTTCTTGTTGCCTGGCTGCAGTTTCTGCAGTTTCTCTTCCCTCCTATTGTCTTGGGGGTCCCTGTCGGCTCTGCCCACCCCACCCCATCCCACTCCTAGCCCCTTTTATCCACAGCAGCTTTCTGCCTCTGATTCACCAAGCCCAGAACCAGAGCACATCCTTGTACCTAAAGCCAAAAAGGGCATGTGGAGGGGCGTTTTTCACCGTTCTTTGCTGCCCTGTGGCAGTTCCTCTTGTACGGGAACAATGGCGTTGGTTTGCGCCAATCACAGCTTCCTCTTGGCCACCAGAGGGCGCTCTTGCGGCTGAGCCCTCAGGAGGTTGAGCAGAGAGGTAGGCGGTGGAGGCCTCAGTTGCTGGCAGGTCCTCAAAGGGCCTGAGTAGGCTCACAGCAGAGGTCCGTGTGGCAGTGACAGTGCAAGGGATCTGGGCTGGATGTGCTAAACTCGGTGATCCAGAGAACCCATTGCAAAGTCGGGAAATGTCGGAAAAAACAAAACAAAACAAAAAAACCCAAAACAAAATACAAACAAAATACAAACCAAAAAACCTCTCAGGGTCCAGTAAGAGCCTGGTTCAGCTAGGTGTGAGCGAGTCCCAGGAATGATCCATGGACTAATAGACTTTAAATTGCAGTGAAAGACACATCAAATAGATCTTCTTAACCAGTTGAATACAAGTGCAGCAGCACAGCTGACCCCACCATCCAGCTCTACCCTTCATTGTCCAAAACGAGTTGCCTCCCCAGTTCCAAGTACCGACATGAAACTCCTGTTATGGAAGAGGACATGTTCACTGAGTCAGGTGTAAGTGACTCTGATCTTGGCACACGAATTCCGGTGACCTGGAGTGACCCATTGTGCTGGCTAGTTTTATGTGAACTTGATGCAAACTAGTGTCACCTGAAAGAAGACAGTGCAAAGGAAATGATGAGGAGGGGCGTGTGGTTTGTGGGCAGGTGAGGAAGTCTGCTGTGGGTTTCAGCTGTCTTACACGGTCCTTCAACCTTAAGCTGGTGGGTGCTAAAATGTTCCTTAGAAACAAAGCTTCCACACAGGGGCTGTTCATCTCAAGGACTGATGACAGCTCCGGAGCAATGCTGGCTCCTGGCCTGCATTCATCCCATCCACCATGGAGACTGGCTGCATTTATGCCAGCTTTTTTTCTTTTTTTCACTTAGCATCAGGTCCTCAAAAATCAGCTATGTTTCAGCATGTGGTCAAAGAATTTTAGTGAAAAAGTAAGAGGTGTGTGCATGCATAAAATATATTTTGCTTTTTTAAAGTATTTACTTATTTCTATCATTTTTACTTATATATAAATATGTTAGTCACATGTGTTCAGGTGTCTGTAGAGGCCAGAAGGGGGTTTCCCTTGGAGCTATAAGGGTTTTTCTTATAGGGGAATCACTCTTAATTTTCAAGCTATCTCTACAGCCCTTAAAAATATTTTTCTTGGGGGCTGGAGAGATGGTTCAGAGGGTAAGAGCACTGGTTGCTTTTCCAGAGGTCCTGAGTCCAATTCCCGGCAACCACATGATGGCTCACAACCATCTACAATGAGATTTGGTACCCTCTTCTGGCTTGCACACATACATTCAGGTAGAATACTGTATACATAATAAATAAATAAATCTTTAAAAATATATTTTTCTTTTCCTGAGACAGGGTTTTTCTGTGTAGCTTTGGTTGTCCTGGACTCATTTTGTAGACCATGCTGGCCTCAAACTCACCCACCTGCCTCTGCTTCCCTGAGTGCTGGGATTAAAGGCATGCACCACCACACCCGATCCTTAAAAATGTTTTTATTAATTTTTATTATTTTTTTTTGAAAATTTGTGAGAATGCATTTTGATCATATTCACCCAACTCCTTCTTTTAACTTTTCCCTGATCTACCCTGCCCCCCTTCTCCTTAAATTCATATACTCTTTAAAAGTTTTTTAAAGATTTATTTATGTGTATGGGTGTTTTGGCTGCTTGTCTGTACACATGTGTGCCTGGTGCCCGCAGAGGCCAGAAGCCTCTGTCAGATCCCTTGGGAATGGAATTACATAGGAATTACCACCAAGTGGGTGCTGAGAACTGAACCAGGGTCTTCTGCAACAGTTGCTGGCGCTAACTGCTAAGCCAGCTCTCCATTGGAAGGACTGGAGTCAGCACAGGATATACCAAGACCAAGTTCTCAGCACAAGGAGATTTTCTTGCCCCAGATGGACAAAGGGCAGGGAATAAGAGACAAAGAGGGGAGACAAAAGATGAGGGAGAGGGGGAAGGGAACAAGGGAGAGGGGAAAGGGATATTTGCCTCAGAGGTACAAAGGACTCTGTCTGGATAAAGAGGAGACAGATGTACCCCCCAGCAGATGGCAATTTATAAAGGGAAAGGGAGACCCCATGTTAGGATGAATCAGTTAATTTTGATTAAGCAGGTTTGATCAGTATAGTATTTTGATGGCTAGACTTTGGTGGCCAGCCTCAGGAGGAGGAAGTGGCAAATAAGGAAGAGACCTTGGTGGCTAGCTTCAGGAATATAATCTAATGGTTTAGCAAGGGAGAGGGCATGGGGGAGGGCAAGCACCGCCAGTGCCATGTTTGTCATGCTTGGGCCTGTTAGAGCCCTTCATCCACCCACCATGTCTTGTTTTAAACTAGAGATATAGGAGAAATATCTGGATAAACTAGAGATACCTCACTTGGGAGGCTGAGGCAAGAGGATAATGGGTCTGGGATAATGGGAGATCCCTGGATAATGGGAGATGCTCTCTCAAAGGAAAACAAAACAAAAACAAAAACAAACCTTTGTTGGGCAGGGAGAAGGGGTGAGGATGGTTCTCACACAACAAAAATCGAAAACAAACGCATGCCCTTGACTATGTGTGCCTTTCTTTTTCAATTAAGAATCAAGATTTGAAATACATTTTTGACTTGGTTTTGGTTCTGATCTATTTTTTGATGTCACTGTGTTTCTGTTTAGTGTTTAATATCTTGTGATTATTTTTATGACAGAACTAAATTTTACTACCAGGAAAGTTTTCTGTAGACTCTAGAACACAGGATAATTTGGTAGGAGGGAGCTCCGGGGACCTCAGGGTGCCTGACTCCCCGGCTGTCCCGCCCTTTGCCAGAGACAGGTCATTGCTGTAGCTCCCCCTTTTGTGTCTCACCAGCAGGCAATCTGGAGTTCCCAAACAGCAGCGAATCTTCCTTCGTTGAAGACAAAAAGAAGCATCCAAAGAAAACCAAAGGTAGTTTCCTGAACAGGGTAGGTGGAGGCAAAGCCTGGCCCCCTTTCCTAGGGTGCTTCAGGCTGGCCTCTGGGGTATGGGGTGGAGGGGAGGGTTTCTCTTCCTGTTGGACAGAACTCCACAGCAACAGGAGGGTTGCTAGTGGGGGTAATGAGTAGTGGGAAGAGTCAGGTCTGAGCTCCAAAACTACGAGAAGGCATCTGGGTGACCAGGTTCTAAGTTTCTGTCCCTTCAGAATTTGCAAATACAAGACTGTCTTGTGGTCATGGAAGGGCTGATGCACTCAACCATGTCTGACTCAAGGCAGGAAGAAAAGGAGGGCGGTGTGTGTGTGTGGGGGGAGAGTGAGGATAGAGAGACTGCCAGCCCTAGTTTGTTCCTATGATAAAATATCCCACAAAAAGCCATTTAGGGGAGAAAGGACTTATTTTAGCTCACAGTTCCAGGTCATAGTCAATCATATCAGGGAAGCCAAGGTGGCAGGAACTTAAAACAACCAGCCAAGAGCAGAGAGAAATGAAGGCATGCATGCAAACCTGGTGCTCGGCTCATCTACAGTCCAGGTCCAAAGCCCAAGGAATGGTGCTCCCCATGGTGGGCTGATGTCTTCCCACATCAATCAACACAATCAAGACAATCCCCCACAAACAGTCCCATGGGCCAACCTGGTGTAGACAGTACTATCCTGGGTGATTCTAGATTGTGTCAAGCTGACTAACCATCACACCACCCTCCATTACCTCAGCCTCACAAGGAAAGGGCCATACAGAAGCCCCATCTAACAGGTCTGGCTTACATTCAATTGACCAAAACTCCATGTGGCCATAAGTATGGACACAGAGGGTTTTAAAATCAGACATATGGCTACCCTTTCTCTCTCCCAGAGCTCTCTCACAGGGTTTACCTTACCAGTATTTCATGAACTTTCCAGAGCTGTGCTAGATTTTCATACTTATTCCTAAGATTTCTGAATTGCTGAATGGGAAACCAGAGGATAGGTGTGCCTCTCACCCCTCTGACTTCCTGGTCCCAGAGCTCACAGAAAAGCCCTCTGGTATCCACACTAGGATCTGAATCAATGTAGGTGTGAAAGGCATGTCCTGGGGTTCACAAAGCAGACCAGCATGAGCCCTGACTTGTGGCCTGTCTCTGGCTTCCTGGATGGATTTCTGCCTGTCTCCCAGGGGCCTCCAGGAGTTGGCCTGGCCTGCATCCCACTTGCCCTACCCATGGGAAACCTACTCGATTCCATCACGTTTGGGCATCAGGCTCTGGTTTCCCTTCTCTGTGAAAGGAGCCTTGCTGGGATTTTTACACCAGGACAGAAGCAGATGGGTGACACGGATGCCGGGCAGGAACCCAGCTCCCGTAGATTAAACCATAGAGGGAAATTTATGGAGCTTTAGGACCCAGGAGAAGACTTTAGCTATGGCTGCGTGGAAGAGCAATCACTGATGCTGAGTGTTCCATGCTGCGTAGAAAAGCACAGAGACTCTTGAAACACAGCCTGTTTCTTCCTTTTTCAGGGCGTGTGACCATCTCTGACCCCTCAAGTAACCCTTTCCACATATCAGGGGATGTGGACTTCTTCTTGCTCAGAGAGCAGGAGTGCAATAAAGCTATGGAAGTAAGTATCTGGGCAGCCCCTCCCCTCTGAGTAGCTTCCTCCTGTCTCAGCTCACTCTCACTCCAGAACAGTCATTCCCCACAGAATCGAGTGGAACCCTTCCTGGCTCTCACATGTCTAACCTGTCCCATCTTTTCTCTCCAGGCCTTAGCCAGGTGGCTTCCTCAGCTGCCATGGCAATCTCTTGTACCTTTCTCATTCTGCCCTGTGAGAACTGCCATTCCTTCCCAGCATTCTTCTTATCCTTCAAGTCCTGTCTCAAACCTCATAGGTCTTCTCCTCTGGGCCTCTCCCCTACTTGGAATCCTACAGGGCTGATACACAAAACACCCCCACCCCTGTCTTACCTGCACCCCAGCTTGCTGCCTCTTGTTTTGCCTGTGTGACTAGGAGCCTGTGTAGCCCTGGGTCCTACAGCCCCAGCACAGACCAGCAGAATAAGCCCAGACAAGGCACTCCACCTGCTGCACCCCCTCCTTTCTCCTGGCTTGACCTGGCAGACCATGTTCCCTGGTTCAGGCTCAGCATCTGCTGTTCTCAGGGTGGCATAGTTCCATGCCAGAATCAATGGGACACCGGGTGAAAGACATCTTTCAGCCTCTGTATTAGAAACTGAACCATGCCCAGCTCTGGAATGAGAGGCTGTTAGCTTGGGCTCTGAAAGGAGGGCGTCAGATGATGTGATGCACTTGTTCAGCTACTGAGAAGAGAAGGAAAACGCACAGGCAGGCCTCTCTCTGGCCTTCAGCTCAGACCTTCCTCTTCTTGGGATGAAGAATTGGGTATTTCTTCTATTTCCAAGCCTGGCTGTACCTTGGGGTACTGACTTCTGGAGAATGTTCATGTGCAATTGCATGCTGCCCTTTCTCTTTACAGATGCCCAACCTACACCCTTTCTACCCAGAAGCTCTTCCTTACCCAGAGTCCCCATTGCATATATTCCCCACCCAATGGGTCTCTAGTTTAGACCATCTTTACCTAGTGGTTCACCTAATATTGTGCCCAGCAGACCCTCAGCTACACCCCACACAATGCAGTGGCTCAGTGCCCTCTACATCTCAGGTCCATTTTACCATCCTGCAGAGGAGCCAACTGGGAGTTTCAGGCTGGATTTGTTGAGATTCTTCAGGGTTATCAAATACTGGTTTGTGGCAGCTGGTGGGTCCCAGCAGAAAACATGCTGAGAATCTTTCTGAATGAGAAGACTTCACTGAAAAGCCAACAATGCTACATGGCAGCACTGGATGGATCACAATGATACCCTGTGGATACCACAGAGGTGCAGGCCAGTGGAGACAGCAGCCACCAGTGACCTTTCAGCTAGGTGACAGGATATCCTGCAAGAGGGAACTGCCAGTCTTTTGGAATCAGGTTTAAGTTCCCTGAACTTTCTGTCAGTTTTAGCAAATCAAATGCTTGGCCTCAGTTAAAGGGGACTTTGGGTGAAGGGACAGATCAACATTTAGCCATGTTGGTACTGTTTGTTATCTGGATGCACACTGAGCTAGTACCTGTGTTTGGTATGGCTGCCGCCCCGCCCGGGACACCAATCCTCAGGTGGTCATTGTCCTATTCAACCCCAGAGACATGCTGTGCACAAGAGTCTATGGCCTAAGAGCACCAACAACAGAGTGCTCAGCATAGCTGTGTGTGTGTACGTATGTGTGTCCATTCTATGTGTGGGCCCCATTAGCCTCTGGCACTGGGCAAAGGACACGGAAACATATATCTTGTAAGGAGCCCTGGTCCTATTGACTGCCTGTCACTCCTACAGGAGCGCCAACAGAAGAAGATTATGAGAGTGCACCAGAAGATGACCTACTCATCAAAGGTGTCTGCCAAGCAGACTAGCCTGCTCCGGGAGCTACAGCTAGAAGAGGAGATGGAGGACGTTGCTGAGATCCAGCAGCTCAACAACTTCCGCAACAACACTGTCTGGAAGCTGGCCATGACCCTCGGAGGTATAGCATCCCTTACCTTGGACAGGAGCAGGTTTGAGGGATGGTTAAAAAAGGCCCTCTATATATCTGATACTGCATACCTTGAAGTGCTCTGTCCTAATGGGTCACAGGTCCAGGGCATGCCGATCACATGAGGACAGTGTGGTGCAAGGGGGTAGAGGCTAGCTTAGCTCAGGGAGGCTTGGGTTCCACCCATCCATCCAACAATCAGCCAGTCACAGTCAAAGGTCAGCTTAATATAGTGAGGAGGCTGTATCTGGAACTTGCCATTCAGATCTTGGTCATGCCGTAGCATTTGCTAGGTCATGACCCGCACTGGAATCCCCTAACTGTGCCAACTTCATGACTTGTGGGGTCTGTGTTAAGACTTTGAGCATTGAACAGAATCTGTGAGCTGCATGTTTAGTGCTCAGCAGGAAGCCCTGAGTTATGAGCTTGCATTCATGGTATATGGGGGACCACAGAGGCACTATGATTATGAAACAGAACCCCTAACCTCTACTTTGACATCAAGCCCTGAGCTCAATGAAGTTTGTGGGAGCCTTTGCCTTCCACTCCTCAGGTTGAGAAAGACAAGTGGGATGATGACAGGCAGGGGAAGAAAAAATCATCAGAACACCATAAAATTCCTCACTGTCCTGACCTTGACTTTTATGGGGAACTATTATCCTTGAAGGGCAAGAGACTCCCAAATGACCTGTGGAGGCTGACAGGGTCTCTGGACTGCAGGACAGAATTCCTGCTTCAAGCATACCAGGCCCTTCTCTCAGAAAGAGGACCCCAGAGACCAGAAAGCCACACAGTTCTGGGTCCTCTAATGTCAGGATCATATACAGGAACTCATGCAATACACAGGAGGTGTGGCCTTGACCCAATAGTGGGCTCTACAAATGGATGCTGTCCAGATGTCCACCTCACTTGGCTGAAATAATGATGGACTTAGCTACCACTCAGCCTGGGCTGGGAGTATAGATACCTCATATAGAGCACATTACACTCCATTTATCTCTGGTGTCTAAAGGGCCTGGCCAGTGTTATTGTCTAGTTGGGTGAGGGTTGCCCAGAGCCTTCTTCCAAGTTGGGAGGATGCTACAGTAAGAGAGGCCCAAGTCAGACAGATACCAATCATATTAGAGCCTAGCAGTCACCTCTCAGCATCCCAGGGGACAATTTCCTGGGGCCACCTTGGAGTCAGAACCCACAGTGATGCTAAAGCTGTGTTTCTGCTCCCCTGTGTTTTCTAAGTCATCCATAGAGCTGTACCTGATGGGTTCAATATACATTCTATGTAAACAATTGTTTGTAGTGACAGGGATTTCTGTTCACCCGTTAGGGTAAATATGATTCTTTTCCATATTTTTCTGATCTGTTGGTTGAAACCAAGGACACAGACCCACAGATGTGGAGGGTTGGCTACATGTTGGGGGAGACTTTCCTCCATTTTTTTTTTTCAGTCCTTCCACCATCACTATAATTCCTTGGGTGGGCAGCAGGACCCCAGCCTCCTCTGTGGACCATCTTAGGTACTAAGATCCAGTTTGGGCTCCAGCCTTTCTCCTCTCCTCTCCTCCTGGGTCTAGCTGCAGAAAAGAATATAGAGACTGAAACACTGAATGCCTACTTGAAGCGGAAGCGAACAATGTTTCTCCTTCAGGTAGGAATGGCTATATCCAGGCTACGTCCTATAGCTTGGCTCTGGCCCAGCCAGGTACCCTCATGCCTGCTCTGCTGGCCCACAGTATTCCCTGGAAATGAAGCGTAATGAAATCCAACGGCTAGAAATGCTGGCGATCCGGGAGGAGAACAGGCTGAAGAGGGCTGAGAAGGCCCTGGAGAAGGACGCAGCCTTGTTTGATGAGTTCCTCAGGGAGAATGACCGCAACTCAGTGCAGGCCATGAGACTGTGAGCCTTCAGGCCCTGGCGGCCTTGCCTATGCAAAACCATAGCCCAGGCCAGGTCCAGTCCAGTCTTAGCTGGATTTGAAACCATGAGCCCTAGTCAGGTCCTGATCTCAACCTATGGTCATGACCCCTGGATATCCTCCACCCTCTAGCTCCCCATCTGGCCTGTGCCCAAGACCAAGGCTTCTTTCATTTCTGACTGGTCTTTAATGATCCATGATTGGCCTCCTGGTTCCCCCACCCTCAGGGCCGAGAAAGAGTCCAAGGACAAGATGGAGAAGATCGTTGAGATCCGGAACATCACAACTCAGATTATGAACATCAAAAGGTAGAGTACAGGGGGCACCTTTACTGGTCACTTTACTAGACCTAAGGGCCATTTAGGACCACAAATGCCTTTCAGGAACTCAAACCCTGTGGGAGGCTGTGGCCTGTCTGATGGATGGTGATGAAGCTGACACTCAGTGACTCTCCTGAGGCCATCCCCCAGGACTCAGGAGCATTGTGGCTCAGGCTGAATGCAACAGGCAGGGTCCCCATGGATGAGGACCCTGTAGTCCATAGAAGGGTTGCAACTCTGGAAGTTCCACTGTTCTGGTCCCTGTAGGGCAAGCTCCCTCCCTAGTCCAGCTAGGGCCTGGTGGTGGACACTGTCTAACTTCCTGCATCCTTTCCTGGGCCTAGCGAAATCTCTAAATTTGAAGACACTTTGAGACATTACAAGATCTACAAGGACTTCCTGTACAAGCTGTCACCCCAGGAGTGGTTGGATGGGAAGAAGCGCCTGACTCTCAAAAAGTCCAAGGAACCTATAGAGTGCACCAAGGAGAGCAGTATAGTCACCTTACCAGGAGAAAAAGGTGGGGCAAAGAGAAGAGTGTCCCCTAAGGGTGGCCCAATAGTGATGCAGAGAGCCTGCACCTAGCTGAAGGGACCCTGTATGTATGGGGGCCCCATCTGGTCCTTTCTTTCATGGCTGGCTCCACACAGGAAAGTGCCCACTTTGAACCAGGAGCTCAGCTCGAGCCTTCCCATATGGAAATGGGCTTTCCAGTCATATCAAAGCCTCTCCTCCCAAACATTTCCTTCTCTGTCTTCCTCCTGGGCCTGAATCGCCATGTAGAGCCTGGGTCCAGCAGTGGTCATATGGAGTTCTCTTTTGCTTTCTGTAGGGCCTAACATCAGAAGCAAGACAGCCTTGCCATGGAAAGGTATGGCTCCCCCAGCCTAGAGGCTGTCCCACCTCATGTCAGGAGTACACACAAACCTCCTGCTTTCCCCAGATGTTCAGAATGTGAAGACCTCAAAGCCTGCATGGACCTCGAATACCTCAACCAGCACTCAGAGCCTTCCAAAGGTCGGTCAGCGTAGTCAGGCCAGCCTGTTCAGCAAGGTGGACTCCAAACTGTGAGTGGTCTTCAGAGACTGGGGGAAGCAAAGGCCACTAAAGGAGACAGCCAGGCCGGCCGGCAGGGACACAAGAGAGGGGCAAGGAATTTCATATGGCTTTGGGGAGAAAGGGTGAGGAAAGGGAAGCCGGCTGAGGGTTACTCCACAGAGCTGCTTCAGGTATCTGGTTCTGGCCCTGGAGATGACTGAGGTAGTCATCCCCAGTGTGACAGCACAGTAAAGGGGAGTGGATGGAGTTGGAGGGGTTGGTCCTAACTGAAAGACATGCCAGGGGCAGCATTTTTCTGTCTGTAGGCTATACTAGGCCCCAGATGTCAGAACCCCAGAATATTGGAAAAAACTACAGGGTTGCCTGCAGGCCCAAGTGGTATCTATGTTTTAGGGACATTTTGCTGACGACAAAATGTCTTGTCTGATGGCGCTTGGTGGTCAAAAGTCTTATCTGTTGGCACTGGGTAGTCTGGTTTCTACATCTTTTTACTGGCTAGTTGGCTCCCCCTCCAGTCCTTTGTTAGCTCTTTACATACCCTGGTAGTGTCCCGACATTCCATTTTCAGTATTGGCTCTTGAGAAGAATTAATTTTAAGAAGGTCACATTACTTATCTTTTCACTTACTGTGGGTGTATCTCATACCCTTCTTAAGAAATCTCTGCCAGCTTTGACCTGTGTTTGTGCTGCAAGCTTTGGTGTATTGGTGTGGATGAGGGCACCTGAGCATGAGAAATGGGCTTCCACTGTGCCAGTCCTAATCTCTACCAATCTTTCCCATGTCCCATCTTCTGTCTCTGCCTGCTCTAGGACTACCTGCCCCTCCCCCTTTCCTGATGCCTTCCCTGTACAGTGTACCTTCAGCTGTTCAACTCCCTAATTTGTTTTTGGGGTTGTGGGAAACTCCCCTGCTTGTAAGCACCTCTTTTTGTGAATGGTGGTCTTGTCATAGAGACAGACTAGCCACCATCAGAGACACAGATGTGTGTTGACTGGATGGGATACAGGCTCTAAGAGGTCAGAGTGCAATGCCAGCTACCCACCAAGGTTACTTCAGTCCTGACTTCTGTGTTGGGAGAGCTGAGGATATAGGTCCTGATTACACTAGCCTGGCTTTAAACCCTAGTCCCTCTCCCTATCAGCAAGGATAGTGCTTCCACCTTCAGCCTTTCACCTGGTAAGTTTATAGTACCCAGTATACAGTCTATAAACTAGGCACACAAGCCAAACATCTACTGATCACAAATCATAAGGGAATTTATTTTAAAGATCTTCTCTGGTACAAATACACTTTAACCATTGAGAGAAAAGTCAAATTTGCATATGTTGTGGGTGTGCTTGTTTATGATTATACAAGTGATCAACTGAATAGTTGATACTGCCTGATGCAGAGCATCTTCAGTGTTTTTCAGTTGATCGTTTTTTGATTTTAGAATCATCAATGATGAGAACACCATTTTGTATTAACATAATATGTCAGAGACATGCTTAGGGACAACTCAAAGATATAATTTGAGGAATCATTCTGAGGAATGATGCTGAGGTGGTGTATGCTGTAACAGCATGCACATGACCTGTGTGTTCAGAACCAAGCCTGCAGTGAATTTACAATGTAACATGTATGAGCACTGTCAGAAACACCCTGGATTGTTGGACTTTTAATTTCTGGTCATTGCATCTTAGAAGATCTTTCCTGTTGCCCACATTTTCATATTTCTCACATTTAGCTACACAGCCCCATGGAGGGTTGGAACCCACAGTTTAGGAAGCTGGGGACTAGGTGGCTAGGGCTGCTGAACACAACTGGATGGTAACATCTACACAAGGTAACATCTGAGAAGGCCATATCCCTTTGGAGGGTGGATTCAAGGCACTGGGGCTTTAGCAGTCTTCCTGGAATACCTTGAGCAGGTGGCTGAGCTGAGCTACCTCCAAATTCATCCTCTGTAACACAGGCCCCAGAAAGTGCAGTGGTGAGGCATAGGCAACTTTCTCTGCTCCCACAGTTCTGTGCACCTGTGTTTCCCCATTTCTACCGATTCCTGAGCATCTGGAAGGAAGCTGACCTAACCTGTCCCCAGCTAACACAGCCGTGCCTCCTGGAAAGAGACCAGCTGGAGTGTGTATGGGCCACTGGGAAGGGTTGAGAAGCATGTGGAGGTGGGCTCTACACGCTGCTGAGACCATGTAGCCTCTATGCCCCTCTGTGTATCAGGACAGGCTTTGCCCTAAAGTGGTACTGCTTGGATAGGCTGTAATGCTCAATGGCTGTGAATTGGGCAGATCTTCAGACCCAATCCAGGTGGTCTCAAAGGGGTCACTCAGAAAATGAATGGTAAGAAGGTAGGTAGATGGGAAGTGAGGGTAGGTACACAAGGCTCTGAACCTAGAGAGAACAAGGGCTGACAGATCAGGGCAGAGTAACCTAGTAGATCAAGGGAAGTCAGTCTTATTCTGTTGAGACTGCTCACTGAATTGAGTGTCCCTTGGCTATGGGACCCTGATGGGGGATGGTACTACATCTGGGGTAATGGAGGGATGGGGAACATGCTCCATCCCTGTCTTTGGTCCTTTGATCCCCTTGGCACTTGTGTCCTAGACTGGTCCAGGAGCTCTGATCCCACTGTCTGTCCTTAGGTCAAGCACAATGGCACCGTCACAAGACGACACAGACAGCGATGGGGAGGTCTGTGCTGGGCTCTCTCCCCTCTTGCCCCACTCTATCAAGCATCCTGCACTGTCCTATTGGGACCCATCCTGTACAGCACCCTTTGCCTACCTCTCACAGGAGCTGGCACTGTACTTCACTGAACCCCAGCAGCTCTTGAACGTCTTCATGAAGTTAGAGGAACAGAACCTGTCGTTGATTCAGAACACGCAGGAGATGGAGGAGACCTTGGATGACCTGAAGCGCACACTGAAAAACACCCAGATCCGCATGTAGGTCTCCCTGTTGCTCCCTTGCCACTCCTACCCCCATTGCACTATTAGCTGTCCCCTTCCTTGTATAGGGTCTGGGTGGATACCAGGACCTTGGAGCCACTGCAGTCAGAATGCAGCATTGAGGACCTCCCATTCAGCCCTTCTGCCACTTTCAGGCCCTGGGAAGCCAGCTCTGCCATGTGGAAGGCCACTACATCCCAGGGCCCTGAGGCATGCATGGCTTAGAAGGGGTTGGAAGCTGGTCTACAAGATACTTAGGCCATGGGGAAGGATTAGCGGTCCTCACACAACACCCCTAGCCCCCAGGCTGTGAGGAAGAGAAGACCTGCCTTGCTGGGGACCTGCAGCATTTGGGTGGGCACCAGCAGCAAAGTGGGAGGACACAAGGCTGCCTGACAGTCTGGAGCCAAACTGGGAAGGGCAGGACCCGGGAGGACAGGTCTATCTGGCACAGCAAGGGACCAGGGATCTAGAAAGATCCTGGGAAAACCCAAGGCCCTAGGTGTAGTTCGCTAGGCAGCAGAGGATGCAGGAGCTGGGCCCATTCCCACTTGAAGTCCACTGGATACTACAGACCCATTATCCTTGCTGCAGGGTGTGCCTACCAGCCATCTCATCCTCATCTCCTCTGCTGGTCCATTCCAGAGCCCAAGGGAGCTGTATAGGAAAGGTTGAGCTGGAGTACTGGGGGTAGTGGGTGTTAAGGGTTCATCCACCAAGCTCCTAAACTGAACAACTTTTCTGGGTCGGCCCAAGGCCTGCCCACTAGAGCTTATACTGGATGGCAGCAGACAGCAGATAGACCCACACACTGACTGGTAGGAAGTGCACATGCTAGGAAGAAGACAAAATGGGTGATGTAAGGGGCAGGTGACAGCTGGTGAGAGGGGCAGGCAGGGCTTCTAGGAGAAAGCAGTGTGTGGCTCAGAACTCTGCTTGGAAACAGGAAGGAGCCAGTCATCCAGGGGCCTGGGAAAGACAGCTCAAACAACAGTAGCAGCCAGGGCTTAGGCCCTGACCCAGCTAAAACTTCAACCTCCAGACAGGGAGCCACATTCCTTACTGGTTCAATATGGCTGCCTCCAGAATGAAGTGAAACTTGCAGCTGCTAGGCAAAACTGCTTTCTAGAACCTCGGCAAGGGCTGGAGCCACAACAGGCTCTGGAGAAAGGCCAGGGTCCTCTTAGAGTCCCAGAGGACCTGCTCTCCCTCAATGGCCCAGCTCCCAGCACAAAGATGATAGGCAGGAGCAATCCCCACCACCATTTCTAGAAAACACAAAAACAAAACCTGAAAACAGCTGGTGAGAAAGAGAAAACAACAACAAAAATTTGAATGGATAAGTTAGCAAAAGATCCTTAGATCCAACTGGGATAACATAAATTCTACAGAAAATTTAAATGTTTAAGGGAATAGCTCAAGTCAGTAAAGTGCTTCCCTTGCAAGAAGGAGGACTTGGTGTTTGATTCCCAGAACTATACATATTATACACATACAATATATTATATATAGTCTGGAAAGAAAAAAAATATGTAAACATAAACACACACACACACACACACGGTGGTATGTATTTATGTATTTACAACTATGGTTTTGGGAAAGAAGAGACGGGTATCCCTGGGACTCGCTGGCCAGCAAACCTAGCTCATTGGGAAGCCCCAGGCAGTGAGAGACCCTGTCTCAAAAAACACACATGCAGCATATATTCATACATTTAAGAGAGAAATGATGACACTCCTCAGCCATCCTCAAAATACAGAAGAGGAGGGAACACTCCTAGCCTCACAGTAAGACCAGCATGGCCCTAAGACTGAACCAGACACAGACAGCCCAGGAAGGAGAAGCCCAGAAAGGGTATCTCATACTGCAGATACAAAGGCCTCAAGTGGAATCTAAACTGTGTAAAGACAGCATGGGCCACAAAATCAGAATAGGGGGAAATTTCAATTTGGTAAACATCACAAGATCTTACAAGCTAATTCTGTTAGTTAAGGGCAAGAGACCTAGTGCCTTTTCCACTGACATCTGGAGCAAAGGGTGGGTATCTCTTCCTTCTACACTGCCCTAGAGTTCCACCCCTGGTGAGCAGAGCCTCAACTCTTCTAGGCCCGTGACCTCAGGTCAAGGACAGTGCTCTGCTCACTAGGTCATGCCTGCTGGGAACGCTGGGTGCTGAAGGAACTGTCTGACCCTGCAGGGACAGGGAGGTCGAACTGCTGAAGCAGTGGATCAATGCTATCATGGTATCAATCTCCAAGGAAGAGGAGACAGCAGCAGAGCTGGAGCTCAAAGCCCGTGTCTTCCACTTCGGGGAATATATGGGAGACCAGCAGGTAGGACAGGGGTGTCTCGGGGCAGAGGCCAGGCCCTGTACCAGACCTTGTCCACTTCCTAGGCTCTGGGTGCTTGGTGTGTCATGTGCCCTGGGGGTCTTATCTATTCTCATCTGTCTGCAATGCCTCCTAGACTCTTGGCAACAGGGATAAGGTCCTAGCCAGAAGCAGCACACACAGAAATGAATTTACTCACTCAGGTTTTGGTTCTTTTCAGTACTGTCCAGTGCCTTGTGTAACAGTCACAGACCAGAGGCCTGGCTCCTGCCTGGCCAAGAGTTGTCAGACACTGGCTGTGGCCTTTTTGCCTGCTGCTCTTCATTAATATTTACTCAGCACCCACATAGCAGTTGTCACCTACTCTCTGAATGTCAGAACAGGCTCAGAGAAGGATGAGTGGGCCTCACAGAATGCGGTCCTGTGGAGATCTGGGGTCAGTGCATGGCTCACTGAAACAGGAGACCGGGCCTCAGTGGGTTTGCTAAGGAAGCTAGGGGAGGGGCTGGGCCATGAGATGAGTCAGAGGCCTGACCATAGAACCAAGGCCACTCTGGCTAAGAAAAGCAGGTACCGTTGCTCACTGCACTCTCTGAGCCCACACCGTGGCTGTTCCATTCTAGCTGGTAAGCCATGAAAGCTGGTTAGGGAGGCCGTCATATGAGGGTTATCAGAGGCCTTGCAGCCCTGCCACACTGATGACTGTCCCCAGGACAGGGTGCTGAAGAGCCTGAACCACAAGGTGCTGGACGTGTACCGGAACTGTGTGGGCATGCAGCAGGAGGCCAGCCTGGGCACAGTGCAGATGCTCGCTGTGGTGGAGCACCAGCTGAACGAGCTGCTGGAAAATTTGGAGCGAGTATCCCCCGCCAAGATCGAGCAGGCTGAGAAGGCCAAAGAGATGGAGAGGCGCGTAAGGTCAGTCACTCTATCCAACCTTCTGTGGCTGCAGCCTTGGCTTGGGTGCAGGGAGCGCTAATCAGTGTCCACCCTCAGTCTCCTGACCACAGAGACAGGCTCAGGACCCTGTGACATAAGGCTGAGGACTAGGCAGAAGCCATTAAGTCTCTGCCTGGTCATCCACTTGTGTGTGGGGCCCTAGGACACAATGATCTGCCAAGTCTGTTTTTCCCAATCTTAGCGCCATCTCCTCTGGGGCCTTAGCACCTGTTCTAGGACTAATGTCCTAGCTGGGTGCCAGGGTATATGTCTGTGGGTAAAGGAACTAAAGACATAGATGTGACTCCAGGGAAACATGCTTTCTTGGGAGTGTGGTCTGAACCTTAGGTCACCCTCACGGCCAGCATGGTATCTACACATCCTGCCTGCCTTCTTCCCAAGACTTGCCCAGGACTGATGGGAAGGGCAGAGAGGCCATTTTTTTACATGTGGGAGGACATGGGCTGACCTGACCTGGATCCTGTAAACTACCTCTTGTCCCTAGGCTTCGTGAAGAGAAGCTCAAGGTGCAGAGGCAGTTGCAGGAGGAACGTCTGCAGCGGGCTCGAGCCAGGGCTCAGGCTGAAATAAAAAAGAAGGTGAGGGGTTGTGCCAGCGCCACTATGGTGTACCACTCAGGCTCTCCAGCCCGAGCTCTAAGGCAAATCACTGCTTGGTGTGCCAAGCAGGAGTGGAGCAGTGTCCAAAGTCAGGCACTTCTAGTGCCTCTGCCCTAGGGCTGTCCTTACTAGGACCAGTTTCCCAGATGTGCTTGTTCACAACAGCCCTGTCAGGTGCAGATGCTCAGCTCACAGAACTCACACCAATACCCACACTCTCTCAGGGTCCTATTGCTCTATCTCCAACCCCACCCCGAAACACCTTGGCCAAACAAACTGCCTGTTGCTAGGCCCGTGTCTTCTGAATCTCATGCACTCACCCCACAGAAAATAGACTGTGGCAGCCTTATGCCTTCTAGATGTGACAGCAAAAAGGCTGGTCTTGAAAGCAGACCTGGGGCCAAGCACGGCCTCTGAGAAACAGGAGCTGGTGGGTGTCTATAAAGCATGGCTGCCCTTGCCATTGCTTCAGAAGGATGAACACTGTTGATAATAAGATACTACTAAACATCCCATGGCTTAGTCCAGAAAGAACACGGACATGCAATTCCCTTCAGAAGGTACAGGTCATTAGGAGAAAGGCTTCTAGGCCATGATTAGGACTCAGATGGTAGGGAGGGCATTAGAAACATACAACATACAGACCTTTGTACAACATACAAAGGTCTAAACATAACAGGGCCCTTGTGGGGAGGGGAGGAGCTTCATTAAGAGAAGGGGTTGGGGGCAGAGAGGAAGAGAGAGAACATGTGCTGCCATTAGCGGGATGGCAGGGCTGAGGAGCCTCTTTAGAGAACAGCCTTCAGAGAATCTCCCCAAGCAAATCCAAGAACAAAAGAAAATAGCCAACTAAGTTTTGAGGGGCTGGCAATAAGTTTCACATCACATGATTTAGTTCAACATAGTATTTGTGACAAAAGCATGGAGGAACTAAGTACTGGTGAGGACCACCAGTCAAGGGCTGTTGACGGATAAACTCTGTCCAAGAGAGAGCTGAAGGTTATGGGATTGGGCCTTTTAAGAGTGACTACTGACTTTAAAGGCTGACCTTTGTTCTATCACACTGTAGGATCCCCTGTGGAAGCCCTGAGTTAGAAAATGCTTTAGTTCTTATCCCTTAGAAAGCATGCTCTATAAAGCTGGCATGGTGACTGCTGGGCTGGTCTACACTCCAGGTCCCTTTAGTAAGCCTCAAGTGGCTAGTTTGCATAATCAGTTTGCTGGCCTCTTTCTGCATCTTAGAGCAGGGGCCATGGCAGCATAGCATCTACATAGCCATCATAGGCTCATCATGTCTATTTCTCCTGCAGAGAGGCAGGAGATTGGTGTGCCGCTCCCATCCACCAATCATCAGAATAAAGGAGAAGCAAGAGAACACGCTGATGGATAAGGACAAGGAGGAGCTGCTCTACTTCTTCACTTAGCAGCAGAGCCTGCAGAGGGCTCTGGAAGAGGTCAGCAGTAAGTGCAGGCAGGGACTGTGAGCCTGAGGGGTCCCTAACTCTATACCTCATGCTTTCCTTTAGCCTCCTTACTCACAGGAAATAAACTAATTTCTCTTGGGAGTCTGAATGGCCTATTGAAGGAAGCTTCTTGGAACCCCTCTTTTGTCATTTCACCCAAAGCATGTGTTTGAGAGACACAACACTATGCTGGTTTTCATCAGAAACAGCTGCTGGAGAGAAGTCCAAAACCTATCCTGAGGAGGGCAGGGTGACACTGGCCCTTGGAGACAAAAGATCCTGTGGCCAGCTGGGTAGAAGGGGAAAGAATTTTAACACCATGCATAGTACCTTGAATGAAACCAGAGCAAAATCTTTGGACATGACATACAAACACTTTTATTCATTTGCACTAAGAATTGGGCCCATGGCAGCAGGAAGCTCCAGTGCTCACTTGCACACACACCCTGGAGGCTCTGAGAGAAAGCAGCTTCTCTGTGGGTGGGCTCTTGAGGCAGGTGACAATGGTACCAGGCTGCCTATGGAGTGAGGAGGGCCCTGATGACAGGTGGGCAAGTTCAACCCCTAAACTTTGGCCTAGGATGCAGGAGAAACCATGGAAAGGAGCCTTCTCAAGTGGGATTTATAATCCCCTTGTAGGAAGCAGCACCCAGGTAGACGGCACTACAGAGCCATCCAGGGAGGACTCATGCCCATCTCAGGGCCCTTCCCAAATCCAAGAAACCAAGCAACTCAGACGGGACAGAACCAAACAGTATGTGAATAAGCACATACTCCAAAATGCCCAAGAAAAATGCATTTCTGAGCGACCCTGTATCCAGTCTTAACAAATAAATAGGTGCAAGGCAGCCCAACAGTCTTATCTAGGAAGACTGAATCAGTCTGTGAAAACATACAAGGCCCACATAATATCAACCTCAACCACAAAACAAGCCTATCATTCCAGCCCTACACATAACATACAGCATTCTGAAGCTCACTCTAGAGACTGCTGACAAGTTACTGTTTACCATGACTCCCCAAACGAGAATTTAGAAAGATGACTTTAAAAGTCTGAAATCTTCATTCCCAAACTGTGAGCCAAACTATCGGTCTAGGAAGAGGGCTACTTGCAGGTCACTGGTAGGCAGTAGGCCAGCTAATCACTGTTCAGACTAGCTGCCTGTCTGCTTTGCAAGAGCTCAGCCTGAATTTGGCTTCACCATGGCATACAGCATAGTAAAACCAACACACCCACCAACACCATCCCAGTAGGTGAGAAGCAGTCTGTCATACAAACTCTCAGAAAAAAACAAATTTCTAGATGTGTCAGGCAAAATGCTAACACTACGATTGAAGGCCCTGTCCAGACTTAATACAAAGGTGCACCAGAGCAGGAAGCCATGCTCTACCCACTTCCTGCAGCGATCTTTTAATGTAACAAGTGAACCCAGCCTATCTCACCAAGGGCAACCTATGGAGGCAGTTTCAGAGTACAGCCCAAACTGGCTCAATGGAACAGAATAAAAGCACTTTCAATTTGTGTACCGCAAAGTCTCAAAGAATCAGTATGGACTGCTGAGCAGAAGTCAAGTGAGGTTGCCCTGCCCACCCCAGTCATCTGAGGTCTTGATGATAGTCTGGACCACGGTCTGTGTTTGCTCAGGCTGCTGTCACTGGAGGTCCCGTAGGTTGATAGTGCTTCCTGGTAGCTGTGCAGTTTCCAGGCCAACAGAACCTCCAGGTGCTGGAAGCACTTCCTATAAAACCAAGCAGGAAAGTGAGGAGGGGTGGGTCAGGAAGACAAGGGGAAGGCACAGCAGAGACCTGGCCCATACCTTATGTCCCTTCAAAGAGCAATGTGCTAGGTATGGTGGCACACACTTTTGATTCCAGCATGAGGAAGGCAAAGACAGATCTCTGAGTTCCAGGCAAGCCAGCCAGGACAACATAGACGGATCCCGTTTTAAAACACACACACACACACACACACACACACACACACACACACACACACAC